GGCTCAGCCTCTGATTTGCTCCCTCTCCCCCGCATCCCTCCATGCTTCAAGGCTGCAGGGTTCCCACCCTTTTCTCTGTTTGTTGGTAAGGTTTTTTTTTGTGTGTGTGTTTTTTTTTTTTTTTTTAACTTTAGTAGACAAAGGAATAAGAAAGTAGTATGTCAGATAGTTTACCTTAAATTTTAGTCCAGTAATCACACTTTAAAGTTAAATCGGATATGCATTTAATTTACAAAACTTTGTATGCTCTAACTAACATAACATTCAGCATTTTAAAGTGTAATTAAATGCGTTATCCTTTGGACCAACCTTCTCACTTGCTTACAACATTACAGTATTTAATAAAAATGCATATCAAGAGAATGGAATTCTATTTGAAACAAACAACTTAACTTGAAAGAAAAAGTATTCAGTGACTTCTACAACATTTGTACCTTTAAAAAAAATTTACAAATTCTTCTGTTCCAGTTTTTTCTGGACTTATCTAATTTATGGATGGACTGTAGTCTGGTCCCTACACTTCTCATTTTCCAGATTAAAATGTTTCGAGAGCATGTTTATACAAGCAGTATGATCCATATTCTGCATATATAAAGCAGCAATTTCAACCTATAAGTTAAAATGCTCTACTTGAAAGTTAAAAGGCACATATTCATACTTGCAGTTTGTCTTAACCTGAACTGACAAACATGGTTTCTAAATGCTATTCAATTGCTATAAATCAAGAAGATACAAAAAACATGCTTAAACTCTTTCATAGTCTTACTTTTAAAAACAAATTTTATGGATGAGTGCTTTCAAGGAATAGATATGTTAACAAGTGAAACTTCATGGCATACAAGGATTGAAATTTTATTACAATGTGTTCAGAATCCTAAATATTTCTCTTCCATACAATTAAAGACTTGTTGTTGTTTAAAAGTTACAAATAAAGGCTGATCTCATCTTTTACTTTTCATACAATTCTTAGACCTCTGGGTAACCTGCACCTGAATTTGGATGTGCAAACAACCCCACCCCCCCAAAAACACCCAAACACTTTTGAACATCTAAGTACTGACTGAACTTTAAAAAAGAATTCTGTTCAAGCATCTTAAAAATCAATACAATATGGCACTTAAGAGTTGTTGTGCTATCATATACATTTAAATTACTGCCAAGAAAACATGTTCAGTTTTAATCACAGTTATAAAATGCTACTGGAATCAACACATTGCCCAAAGGTAAATATTTAAGTAATAATTCATCATGTGCTCTGCTGTCAGTTACTTTTTCAGTTCTGTATACCAACCAGTGAATACCTGGAACACGCTGTGCACCTTTTTAAAAAAAGACCGAGAGATTTCCAATGCGTCATATAAAGATGGATCTATTAACCTTTCCTTGCCTTTAGCTGCCACTTTTTCCAAGACTCCCTCCCTATATGTAATTCTGCACTTTGAAGTCCCAATGCTAACCAAAACATGAGCAGTCTGTAAGGGGAGTACTAGTAAAACCACTTCCTTAAACAACAGCACAGGAAACAAAGACAGACAGGGCAGGCAGCAAAATCTGGTTAACAGGAATACAGCGAAGACTAAACATAGAAAAAAGTGTTACAGTCCTAAAAGAAAACTTTTAAAATGTCATTTACATTACACTGGTCTCTTTTCAACTGATATGCAAGCTATTCAAAGAAAAAATCAAGTCATTTCATACATAATGTGATAAAAACAGATTAAACGTGGAAGGATCTTTCATTCATTAACAAAATGTTGCCAAAACTTTCACCATTAAAATTAAAGCAAATACATCTTAGACTGGCATTTGGTTGAACTGAAATTACTATTTTTGATGTTTTACCATTGGTACCTGGTAGAAAACATTCAAAATCAGTGCCAGATGAATCGGAGGATTCATTTAATGTTGATGGAATCTGCTTGCTTTACAAAGGAATCCAACTTGAAGTTCTAGATTGGGAAAACTCACACAATACCAGATTGAGTATATTCATGAAGATTACTACAAGGCATATTTCTGAAGAAAGCGTTCAAATGCATCATATATGGCTTGCCTAAAATAGAGAATGGAGAAAATAATCATAGGCTACTTAGTATAACCTGAGAAAGAAGAGATAAGCTGCTAACTGTAATTCTTTACTTTATAAAAGTCTGGCCTGAGGAGTTCTTGGGGCAGATGAGGCTTCCAACTGCCATAACATAAGCGCTCATGTCACGGCCCTGTCCAAGTCTTAACAAATCTGCAAATTCTGCTAAATACCTGCCATCAGCAAATCTCAGACAGGATGCGAAAAGAAGGGTCAACACCTTAACAACTTCCCTGAGCCACTGACAACACCAATCCAGTACCACCTTCTCTAACTTGCTCCAGTTGCCAATTACCTACAGAAGCCTGGGAATGAAACTAGCATAGGAAACTCAGCCTCACACCTGTAGTAAGGAAGCATGGTATAGTAACATTTCAGAGCAGAGAGACAGATTAGCTGTGTTAGTCTGAAGTCAGAGTAAATATGCACTTTACAGACTAAACCCAGCAGCTGGCAACCTTTTCAGGGTGTGGGCCAGACTAACCCAGTTTGGGTCAGAGGCAGGGGGTGGGAAGGCAGACTGTAAGTGCTAGGACCCAGGCAAAAACGTTGCTTTTCCCCGCAATGGCAAAGGGAGTATGTCTGCAGCTGGTGCTCATCCCCACAATGGTAGCAGCTGGATCCAAGCACCACCCTCCAGGAGTAGCCATCGCTATTTCCCCCCCACCCCCCATTTCAAAAATCTGTAATTTTCACGTTTCTGGCAGGTGCTTGGTCCCAAGCATGCCAGATTCATGAGGTTATACTGTATATATTTTATACATATAAGCAGAAGAATTTGTGAACTCAGAACTTATGATCTCTATGTAATCTTGTTTATTTAGTCTATAAAGAGCGTATCTACCCTGCCTTCTGCCTGACTTCAAACTAACATGGCTTATTACCTCTCTTTGCTAATGAATGGCACTACACTCAGCTGAATGAAACGGAATTCAAGTTCATGAAAGCTTATGCTCATATTTCTTATTTAGTTAACGTATAAAGTGCACAGTAACTTCTATGCCATTCAAGAAGTCTCCTGTATAGGAGTTCCTATATAGGAAAGCAGCACGTGGTAGGCTTACATCTGCTTTGCACCAATGCAAAAACAACTGAAACAAGGCACAGGATCAGTCTCAGTTATTCTGAACGTCTCAAGGAAGGATTCAGTAGTCACACAATGGCTCTTTCATGGAAATTCTGAATATTTCCAAGATACTGGCTCCAATCCAAGTCAGTAGTGACAGAGCCTTCATTAGCTTATCATTCAGTTGTTTGTGTGATGCAAGTGAGTGATCTCAAAATTACATGGACAGATCTGTTCACAGTTGTAAGATCATTCACAAGTGGCACTCTTGGAGATCTGCATAGTCAGGTATTAAGTAAGTGTAAGTCAATCATGTAACATTCTAACTTTTTAAACAATTTAAGAATTACATTCATAATAGAAACAATTTTTTAGAAAGTTGACATTGCAATGTTAAATCAGGGGTTACAGCATACTGCACAACTGGCAGGCAAACTAAATATAAATTTGGACTTTACCTGCTTATTCATTCCCACAGAAATGAGTCTTGCAAAAAACTCAGACTGTCTACTGAACACAAGTTATTACTATCTAGAAAGTATATTCTGCTGTGTAATGAATCAGAACTACCAGAGAAGACATGGATTTCATTCTTGCCTCTGCCAGTGGCTTTCTGGAAGAATTTAGGCATGCCAAATCATTTCTGTGCCTCAATTTACTTTAAGGTAGAGATAATAGCATCTTAAAACCTACTGAGGATTTCCACTATATAAAAACCAGGGATATCAACCTTCTTAGAATAATTGCAGGTTGTTTTTTTTTTTTTTTTTT